ACTATCATATCCTCTCCAAACTATTTGACTTTGACTTCTTCTTTTCCAATGTGTATCCCCTTGCTTTTCGTTAGCTGTCTTATTGCTCTGGCTAGGGCTCCAAGTACTATGTTGAAGAGATCCAAAGAGGGTGGGCAGCCTTGCCTTGTCCCTGGTTTCAGTGGGATTGCTTTAAGTTTCTCTCTGTTGGCTACAGTCTTGCTATATTATTACGGAGGCAAACCATCTTAACACATGGTAAAGTTAGCACATGCCCCATCATGGGCATGGGCATCAATTCTCAGTAAAATCCACCATCTTGAAGATCAAATATGGACTATTATTTCCTTTTTCTTTTTTGGAGACAGTTTAGCTCAAAAGGGCAAAATAAAGAATGAGGGGAAGCTATTTTATGGTCTCAGCTCAAGGAAGCAGGGTTCATAAGCAGCTGATAGAGCAGCTAAGAGGTTTCTTTCAGAGTTGCAGCAGAGTGCCTTCATAAGGAACATTACCAACCCACTTCTAAGATAAGGTAAGGATTAGCTGTTTTGCTGCATTTTTTCCCAGTCACAGAGTCAGGAGGATAGCTTGATTCACCAATGCAAACACATAAGTCTGGAATGTAAATGCCCATTGCCGTCCAAAAGCAGGATCTCAGATTTAAAATCATAGCAAAATTTGCTAACGTAATATGCTCTGCTTTTGATGGAATCATGGATGTGGGTGTGGGTGGGTGTGAGTGGGTGTGGGTGGGTGTGTGTTTAGCTAGATTAGCAACTGAGATAGAATTTAGGAAATCCAGTTTAGAAGTTTGCGTGGGCTAACCCTGAAGTACAGAAATGGAGGTGTAAAGCAAAGGTACAAAAGAGACTTGAAGGCGAGCCCTCCAACCTTTTGCTGTTTTACCTAATGATGTTATCTGAGTCTGTGGGGCTTGGAGGCAGAAAATACTTCTAAATGTAGTCATTGTCTAGATGACAGGGGTGTATCTGAATTCAAAGTTCACATGCAAAACGGGACATCTTGATGAAGTCCCCAACCAAGATGACAGCAAACCATGTGCTTGTTTTTTCTGTTCAAAGTGAAGTCAGCCTCATGATAATGTGAGTCCATCCCCCATCTTGGCTGGGCACTTCAAGATGAAAAATCAAGTGTCTTGATGCCATCTTTGTTAAAGATATCAGAAAGAAAAATGTCATGTGACTTCACCACCATCTCGGTTAGATATCAGCACATGACAAAACAAAATGTTGGCATCAGGACTGAGCGCCTCCCTTTCCCCTGTTAGTTCTTTTTCTTATGATATTGGTAGTAGTAGTGTGTTTGCATGTTTGTCTTTTGGTTTTTTGGTTTGTCAGTTATTTAGATCCAGTGTTTTCTTGGGTGTAGTTGTCCTCCTTGGTTTGGAGTTTTCCTTCTAGTATCTTATCTAGGGCTGGGTTTATGCATAGGTAACTGTTTTTGGTTTTGTCACAAAATACCTTATTTTCTCCATCGTTTGTGATTGAGGTGGGTGTAGTACTCTGCACTGGCATCTGTGTTCTCTTAGAGTCTGCATGACATCTGCCCAGGCCCTTCTGGTTTTCATAGTCTCTGTTGATAACGCAGGTATGATTCTGATATGTCTGCTTTATAGGTTACTTGGCCTTTTTCCCTTGCTGCTTTTAATAATCTTTCTTTGTTTTGTACATTTAGTGTTTTAATTATTATGTGGTGGGAGGAATTTCTTTTTTTGGTCTGATCTATTTGGTTTTCTTGTATGTTTAAAGGTATCTCTTTCTTTAAGTTGGGGAAATTTTCTTCTATGATTTTGTTGAAAATATTTTCTGGGCCTTGGAGCCTGGAATCTTCCCTGTCTTCTATTCCTGTTATTCTTAGATTTCATCTTTTCATGGTGTCCTTAATTTCTTGGATGTTTTGTGTCAGGCATTTTTTGATTTAGCATTTTCTTTGGCAAATGCCTTCTGTGTCTGATATTCTCTCCTTCATCTCTTGTATTCTGTTGGTGATGTTTACCACTGTGATTCCTGTTCTCTTTCCTAAGTTTTCTATCTCCAGGATTTCCTCAATTTGTATTTTGTTTATTGATTCAGTTTTCATTTTCTGGTTCTAAACCATTTAATTCATTTTCTTTACCTGTTTAATTGTGTTTTCTTTTATTTCCTTCAGCAATTTATTCAGTCCCTCCCTAGGCCTCTATTTGTTTGCTTGTTTTCCTGTACTTCTTAAGTGATTTTTAAGATTTCCTTTTAAAGGCCTCGTCTTCATAAGCATAGTTTTAATGTCATTTTCCTGTATTTCAGCTGTGTTAGGATATCTAGAATTTGCTGCCTTATAGCTCTGGTTTTTGATAACTGTGTTTTTAAGCTGGCTATTAGCCATCTGGTTGTTGGGCATTGTTCCTAGAACCTGCTGGGTTTCTTGGACATGTGGAAGTGTGGTGGGAGCTGAATCTCTTTCTGTGGCCTATAGATCTGCTCTACTAGTTGTGGCCCAGTGGGACCTATAGGCAAGAAATTACAGTGTGGGTTTCTAACTTGTGAGATCCAATGAAGTCCTGCAGGTCTTTAAAGACAGCTAGAATCTCTTTCTGTGGCCTATAGATCTGCTCTGCTAGTTGTGGCCCAGTGGGAGCTATAGGCAAGAAATTACAGTGTGGGTTTCTAACTTATGAGATCCAATGAAGTCCTGCAGGTCTTTAAAGACAGCTAGAAGCGCTGTGAACTCTAGGCTGGATCTGCATGTCTCTGGAATCTGGAATAGTCCTCAGAATGGCAGGAGTAGCGGGGTCTGAGGGTAGTATCATGTGTATCTGGCAGCTAGGACCCTCTTTTCTCTCCAGGGGAACACCAGTGGTCACTAACATTTCCGAGTCAGCAGCATGGTGGCTTGCTTGCCAGCAGACCCTGCATTTCCAATACTCATCCTCCCCTGGGTGTTGCCATCCTGGAACAGGAGCCCTGTATGCTCCTATTGTTCTATTTATAACTGTGGACAGGAGGCTGGGACCCTGTCCCTGGTATCCAGAAGCTTTCCTTGCAGAGGTGGGAGGAGTCTAGTGTCTTGATGCAGGGGTCATATGTTTGAGTAGGCATAAGGCCTCAAATTATACACAGTGAAATAAGAGTTAATGGCTGTATTTCTTTTATGTAATGTTCAAGAAGGCAAAGCTATAGCGACAGAGGCTGCATATAAAAGGAGATTGGGGCCTGCACTGTTGTGCAGTGAGCCATTTGGAGATAATGGGAATGTGGATAATGGGTAGCACATGGAAAGCTGAAGAAAAATTGTCTCAAGTTCCAGACCTGGGCTGCACAGTGTGTTTCAAAGTGATCTAACCTATAGAGTTCATACTCTATCTCAGATTATGAAAGTACAGATGATAGATTTGAAAACATTGAGTTTATCTTCTAGAAATTATAACTCCATAAACCTAATTTTTAAAAAATCCACGTTATTGGATGTTACATGTATGTTTCACTTTCATAAAATTTACCTAAAAATAAGGAGAAAAGTTATAAAAAATATAAACTGTAAAATATGTTTATAAGGATATACCACTACAGTAAAGTAAACATTTTTAACATGGAAATGAGAGTTCATTTTGAATGTTTTTTTTTTCCAGTTTGGGGGAATATCTCACCTGTAGTTATGAAATACAAAAAATTAATCATTCAAACATCTTAAATTTAATTACAGAGTAAATCTGTTAGAATTTCTTGGCCCAGATAGAAAACAAACTATTATCTTGTACCTAAACTTATTGCAAATTCAGGCTGCTGCATGCTTTTATAATTTTCAATTATTAAAATAGAAAAGTTGCATTATCTAGTGTTCATTTTCATTACACTAATTAATTTTCTCATAATTAGTTTCTTATTATTTCCTTATTTACTGTATTCTTATGCAAAAAGTAATTCTACTAAAATCATATGCATTCAGCAAAATGCTGAAACACTGCCTTCAGACGTTAAATTATTTTTAATTATTGACAGTGTAGTTTTCAAGGTTTGAAACAACTGCATGTTGTCAAAGATCATTAACCTGAAAGACAGTGTTTTCATGCAAATTGAACTTTGAGTATACAATACTAAAACTTGACAAACTGGACTGTATTTTTAAAGTAATGTTAAACTCTTATTGCCAATTTTTTTAAAACTTGTTGAAATAGTGGTGGGAATGTGGGAAATTATTTTAAAAATGATAACTTTGAGCTCTACCAACATAAAAGTACAGGTAACAATTTACTGCAAAAAGGTAGAAGAAAATACCTTTAAAGTTCATGCCACAAGAGACAGATAAAACTGTAAGAAATAGCAAAGTTTAGCTTGTTCCAAATATTATACAATTTATACATGCATGAAAAATCACAGTTCCCATTAATATGTATAATTATGCTCTATTGGTTAAAATAAACTCGATATATATAAAATTTTGTAGACTTAATTGACTATGTTTTAAGGTAATATCCTTGAGCAAAGTATCTCTAGCAATGAAGGCTGGTGTCACACTACTTTAGGAGAAGGAATTGCAATGGTTAACTTATATCTGTAAGAATCAGGTCATAGTTTTGTGTATCAAAGATGGCTTGACAACATCCTTAAAATGTTCTGAGACTGACTGTTAATAAAGTTAAAGGGAAACCTGGTGAGCTCCGGCAGTGGGGCCACATTGCATTTGTATGTGAAATGCCTGTTGTGCTTATCTCTACCTTAGATACGTCTCTGAACCCATGGTCCACATGCTCAATTCTGCGTATAAAGTTAAACATTGCAGAAACGCTTAACCCGATAATAAAGATACAGTAAGGTGAGGTTTAGCAACTAGCACAGTTAGTGTACTTATTCTATTTATGTCTTTAGTATTTCTGTTACCAATATATTTGGATTATTTTGTGGTAAATCAGGACTGGTAAAAATTTGGTAATATTTTAAACTACCAAAAAAGTTTAACTCATATTCCTACTTCAATCCTATGTTTTAACATAAACTAATGCTCAATTTTAAAATAATTGCTTGCAGGCAAAATTATTATCAATGGAGCAAGCCAGAGAAACTGCCCTTGAACAGTACAAAAGGCTGGAAGAAGAAATACAGACATTACGAGTTTACTACAGGTAAAAGATGTGATACTTCAGTTTAAGTAAATATTGTGTGAGAAACTCCTGTACCTGATATTGTATTTTTGAGTGAAGAAATTCTCAATGAAATTAAACTTTGAGGATTTGAAGCATTTACATATTTTTTTAATTACCTAAAATGTTTTACCATTAAAATTTATATAACTCATTTACATATCTAGTTGTCTAAGTAAAGCCTGGTTAGTTGAAGTGTGTACAAAATTGCGCACACACACACACACACACACACACACACATATGATAGATATATTTACCATATATATGTATACCATGAGTTTTCACCTTTTACAACATACTATGAGAAATTTCTAAGGAAACGTCGCCAAAAATACTTCACAAAATTATTTCATTTTTGTTCTAGAAGTAGTTATAAAAGTAATTTCATAGTTCAAAACTGGCATTTTATATTTAAAGGAAGTATTGCAGAAAGTATCAGAGTGCATACTACATAATAATGAAAAATTTTTATGATTATTTTCTTCAGATTTCCGTGGGGTATATGAGAGATTTATTTTGGGTTACATGTAAAATACTGTGTTTTCATCACAGAACGTGGTAAAAGAAATTGTTTAATATGTAATGTCCTCTATGTTTCTTGAATACTAAATCTAAGGCTACCTTAAGTCTAAAGTATGAAAAGCCATTGAGACTATGGGTTAATTGGATTTTTCTCAGACTAACTTAGTTAAATGCCTAATATTGTAATTAAATCAAAATAAATTTTAATTAATTGCAATTATGAAAGTATTACATGATAATATATGTTTTGCTTTATTAATGTATTCAATAGTAGCAAATATAGAGGTATATATATTAGTAACTGCATTTTATTAGTGATGTTGATAAATGCTGTTTGGGTGAAAATTGCAAATGCTATGGAATACTACCAGTCATTTCTGTCAGCAGAGATGTCTCAAGCTCTGTGTTTGTTACATGTATTCAGGATTATAGGAGACATTGTACCTATATGAGAGTTCTTCAAAACAAAATTCTAATATTTTCTTACTTTTTATTTTCAAATTTTTCTAAATTTAATTACATTTTTATAAATTATAGTTTATTCACTTTGTATCCCCACTGTAGCCGCCTTCTTCTTCCCCTTCCTGGCCCACCCACCCTTCCTCATCTCCTTCTATGCCCTTCCCAAATCCACTGATGGGGAGGTCCTCCTCTCCTTTCATCTGACCCTAGCCTATCAAGTCTTATCAGGACTGGCTGCTTTGTTTTCCTCTGGCCTGGCAAGGCTGTTCCCACATTGGGAGGAGGTGATCAAAGAGCTAGCGACTGAGTTCATGTCAGAGACAGCGTCTGTTCCCCTTACTAGGGTACCCACTTGGATACTGTGCTGCCATGGGCTACATCTGCTCAGAAGTTTAGGGGTTCTAGGTTGTCTCCATGCATGGTACTTGGTTGGAGAGTCAGTCTCAGAAAAGACCCCTGGGCCCAGAGTTTTTTGATCTGTTGCTCTTCCCTGGAGCTCCTGTTCCCTTCAGGTCTTTCTATCTCCCACTTCTTTCATAAGATTCTCTGCACTCTGCCCAAAGTTTGGCTGTAAGTCTCAGCATCTCCTTCAAATACCCTGCTGGCTAGAGTCTTTCAGAGACCCTCTGCAGTGGGCTCCTGTCCTGTTGCCTATTTTCTTCCTCTTCCAATGTCCATTCCCTTTGCCATTCTGCATGAAGATTGATTATCTTACCCAGAGTCCTCCTCCTTGCTTAGCTTCTTTAGGTGTACAGATTTTAGTATGTTTATCCTATATTATATGTCTAATATCCACTAACAAGTGAGTATATACTGTGTGTGTCTTTCTGCTTCTGGGATACCTCACTCAGGATGATCTTTTCTAGTTCCCACCATTTGCCTGTAGCAAATATAGATGTGCATATATTAATAACTGCAATTTATTAGTGATGTTTATAAATGCTTTTTAGGTGAAAATTGCAAATGTTATGGAATAATACTACCAGTCATTTCTGTCAACACAGATGTCTCAAGCTCTGTGTTTCTTAGTTTCATGTATTCAGGGTTGTAGGAGACATTGTACCTTTAGGAGAGTTCTTAGAAACAAAATTCTAATATTTTTCCAGAAAAAAAAAAAAAAAAACCTAAGAAACTCTGCTTTGATGAAATGTTCATGACATCTGCACTGGCAGGTTATTTTTATGGATTGAATTGTGTTCCTCCCCCAAAACTAGGCTGAACTTCTGTAACTTCTTCATGTGACTTTTTTGAGGTAGGGGCATTCATTGCAGAGGGAATCCAGTTAAATAAGGTCTTTGGGCAACCTTTAATTCAGAGTGACAAGTGATTTTTTTAAAAAACAAAAAGAGGAAGCTTGTACACTGAGTCATAATAGACACAGGGCAAATACATCTTGGAGACACACAGGCAGAGGACAGCCATATGACAGACATGATGCAAAATGCCAACACTGAGTTTGTCTGGGAAAGAATAACAGCCAATGCAGAGAGCATAGCCCATTTGACACCTGATTTCAGACTTCTTGTGTCGGTAACATTCTCTTTATTTAAAACGATCCAGCTTGTAGTACTTTGTTACGGCACTAGTAGGAAACTACCACACTTGTAAAACACCACATTTGTTTGGGTGGCTAATTTGCTTCTCCATTTGTAGCTAGTGTCTGTAGGTGAGTATACAAAAACCCTAATGGTAAAGGAATGGTAAAGGACATCTTGCTGTCCCACTTTTTGTTATTTGAATTGCATAATGAATACTATAGTGTTTCTGTGGGTTTTGCACCATTCTTAATTGTAACTATCATCAAAATCAACTTAATTTAATTAGTCACTAATAAACCCAGGTTTAGTTTTTATTACTTACATCCAACAACTCACAACTACCTAAAACTCCAGTTCCAGAAAATATGGCATCTTCTTCTGACTTCCAGTGTCACCAGCATGTATGTGAATATATGAAGGCACACACATAAAGTCAAAAAGGAATAGACTTTTTTTAAGGAATTCCCAATCTACTAACTCTAAGAGTTACATAACTCTAAGCAGAGTAAACAAGTACTGTCTTAAAGGTAGACTTTCCACATACCTTTCTCATTTCTACCTTTTGTTATTAGCCACAGACTGGTCTTGCACAAATGAACCTTAACCTTGCAGGAGAAACCAATAGAACCGCCTTCTATTAGTGTTAGAAAGATACAGGATTTAGAATCTCCGCAAAACAGGAAGATGTCCAGACAGTGGTATTAGGTAGGTGTGAAATAGATAAGAACAACTGAAAGGGAAGGGGCCAAGATGGCAGCACCGGGAGAACACCATGTCTGAGAAGCGGGACAACATACTCCGTACAGCGACCAGGAGACTGAACTCTGGGCCCTAAAACAACAGCAATCGATCGTGTTTCCCAGGTGAGGGGAGGCTCCCACAGCGTGGGAATCGCTCCGGTCCACTCTCGGCTGCCAAGCCAGAACCCGGAAGAGAACCCGGCTAATGCGGGCTTTGGGTCTCCGGACTGGTGCCGCAAGCCTGCTTGTCCCAATCACTTTCCCAGGCTGATCGGTGGGCACAAGGGTGCCTGAGGGGAAGTAAAGTTGCCAGACTGATCAAGGGTCACCCAGTCTTTCCCTGGAAGGTCTCTCTGACCACGGGTACCTGCCGCCATCACAATTGAGCTCCTGCCTCGCACAGATTGCAGCTGCACAGCTGCGCGCCCAGCTCAAAATCCCTACTCCCTCTTGGGAGGAGGCAGGAGGTGTCCAGCAGACTCTGCCACAGACCACATTGTCTGTACCCCAACCCGAGATCAGGGCTGAGAAAACCCAATCCTTTCGGGCACTCCCCCAAACTAACCCTGCCACAGCTGAGCAAAAGGATAAAGAGGCGCACAGCAGCTTCACAGTGCCGGAACTCCAGTCCTGCCAGCCACTCCTAGCAAACAAACTACAGCTCGGGATCTGAGACTGTGGTCATTCTACACGTCCTGAGATTATCCTGGGTCCAGCGCAATAAGGTCTAGCAGCAAGTTCTATCACCGGCGCCATCCCCCGACCCCTGGCAGAGAAACGCCAGCTCAGGGCTCAGGATCCGACTGAGAAGCCCCAACCCCTGCTGGCACTCCCCTGAGAGCACCTCCATAAGCTTGCCCTAGCAGAGGAGAAGGTCAGGGGGGAAGGACAGAGAGGCAGCCTGCCAAGGACACAGCACCCTCTCTCCAGCTAACCCAGCAGCACCTAGCAAAGAAACCCAAGCTCTGGATCTGAGGACACTCAACCCTACCCGGGACTCTCTTGGGATCAGCAAACATAGATTCTACCGCTAGGCTGCTTCTGGCAGAGAGATCTGAGCCCGAGATCTGGGATTGAGTACACTCATCCTAACTCTTTCCCGAGCCACCCAGGGACCAGTCAACATAACCCCTCCTGGCAGAGGGAAAGGACAAAGAGGCAGCACACTGGAAAGGTGGACACCGAGTCCTGCTGCCACAGTGTCACAGAGCTGACTGTTAGCCTACCCGTGCACCTCCTCAGCAGGACCAAAACAGAGAGTAGTGAGCAAGGGGAACCCCTGTGCATTCCAACTGGTCCTGCAAGAGAGTGAGTGAGCCTTCTAGGGAGAGATTGCCCCAGACCCAGGGCCTCTCCACAGAAGCAACCAGACGAGATCCCTGCTACACGGGCATCATAGGGATTCTTGGGATAGCGACCCCAACATTGAAGCCTCTGCCTTGTGGGTCCACCAGGGTAATCCAAGCAAACAATCCCTGGATCTCAGTCAGAACTGCGTAATAGTGGCTTGCAGGCCACTGCAATAGTCAGAGAATCCGTGCATGCACACTGCGCCCGCTAAAAGCGCACTCGAATAGCGCCAGCATCACATTCCTTACTTAGGCAAAACTGAAAACACAGTGCACACTCCCAAAGCAGTGAACCTCTCTCATCTTCCTGAAAAAAAAAAAACAGTCCAGAAAACAGAGAGACGATCATAGCCCAAACTACAATCTCG